CTAGTGTGGGATGATAGAAGCTTGGAGGTAAAGGAGATAGGGAGTTTTTTCTTTAGCAGCACTTGTCAACGATAGAGTGAGTAGGGTGGAGTGAGGATTTGGGGAGTGTACGAACCAGTAGGAGAAGGATCCAAGGTGTTTTTCTGGGAGGAATTGGCCAATGTGATGGGGAATGGGACACTTCATGGGTTCTAGGGGAGGACTTTAACACTATCAGATTCCCGGAGGAAAGAATAGGGTGTAGTCTGATCTCGAGGGCCATGGAGGAGTTTTCTAACTTCATTAATTATCACTTTCTCATTGATATTCCTCTGTCAGGGGAAAGGTTTACTTGGGTCAGGGCGGAGGATTCTAACTCAAGGTCTAGACTTGATAGATTTCTGATAGATTTCTGATATTGCCCTCCTTGGATGAGCTGGTGCCGAATGTGCTGCAGATTCCTTTGCCTATCTTACTAGATAGATACAGAGGGAGGGGGTGCGTGCTCCCTTCCGATTCGAGAACATGTGGTTGAAAGTGCCAGAATTTGGTGAAAAGGTGAAAGAATGGTGGACAAGCTACGGGGTATCAGGAACACCTTCATTCCGTCTTTCGAAGAAACTTAAATTGCTCAAGGGAGATATTATTAGGTGGAATAAAGAGGTTTTTGGGAGGGTAGAGGTTAAAATGAGGGAACTTATGCATGAATTGGGGGGATTAGAGAGAGGTGAAGGGGCGAGGGAGTTAAATGAATTGGAGAAAGCAAGATTGGGGGAGGTTAAGAATGAAATAGTCGAGTTAGCAATAGCTCAGGAGACAAGTTGGCGGCAAAAATCGAGAGCGCTCTGGTTAAAGGAAGGGGATTCGAATACCAAGTTTTTCCACGGGGTGGCGGTTGCAAATCGAAGGAGAAACTTCATAGAGTCCTTAGTTGCGGATGGGGTGAGGATTGAGGGGGAGGAGGAGGTAAAAGGGGCGATAGTGGGGTTTTATGAGAACTTATACAAAGAGAGTTAACTAGAGGCCGACTTTGGGAGGAATAGAGTTCAACCACATAGGGGAGGGAGACAGTGAGTGGCTAGAAAGGGCTTCGAGGAGGAGGAGGTGCACGAGGCTGTGTCGCCTTGGCTTTCTTCCCGTTCTGTTGGGACACCATCAAGGGGGAGTTGATGGAAGTCATTGAATACTTCCATGTGAATGGTGTTTTCGAGAGAAGTATCAATGCTTCTTTTATTACTATTGTACCTAAGAAAGAAGGTGCATCTTGTATCAGAGACTACATGTCTATTAGTCTCGTGGGGAGCATTTACAAGATTATTTCTAAAGTGCTTTCCAACAGACTCAAGAAGGTTCTTGACGTGTCTATTTCGTCCTCCCATAATGCATTTGTGGAAGGTAGGCAGATCCCGGATGCTGCTTTGGTGGCAAATGAGCTTGTAGACTCCAGAAGAAAAAATAGAGAACCCGACTTACTATGCAAGTTGGACCTTGAGAAGGCTTTCGACCATGTCAATTGGGAGTTCCTGGATTTCATTATGATGCGGATGTGGTTTGGGGCAAGATGGAGGGGATTGATCAAGTTCTGCATTTCCTCAGTCAGATTCTCTATCCTGGTTAATGGTAGCCCGTGTGGTTTCTTTGGCAGCTACAGGGGTCTCAGGCAAGGCGACCCCCTATCCCCGTACTATTCGTTCTAGTGATGGATGCTCTGAGTAAAATGATGGATCGTGCGGCGGGCGGAGGCTTCTTGAGAGGATTCTCAGCTCCGGTCGGGGTGCTCAGTGCTCGAAGAGTCTCTCATTTGCTCTTTGTTGATGACACCCTGGTTTTCTGTGATGGCGATATGGATCAGTTGACCTACCTGAAGCAGGTCCTGCAGTGGTTTCAGATAGTATCAGGTCTCAAAATCAACCTCGGCAAGTGTGAGATTTTCTCGGTGGGTGAGGTTGCTAACATTGATGCTTTGTATTATGTTCTCAGATGTAACGTGGGCTCCTTTCCCACTACTTACCTGAGTCTCCCATTGGGCACTTCGCATAAGGATACTACGATTTGGAATCCAGTGATCAAAAGGGTTGAAAAAAGATTAGCAGGCTGGCAGAAACGGTACTTGTCAAAAGGCGGTAAGAAAGTGCTTATTAAAAGCACTTTATCGAGTATGGCTACCTATTACTTGTCCCTGTTGCAAGCTCCTGTGACCATCATAGAAAAACTAGAGCGGCTTCAAAGGAATTTTTTTGGGTTGCGGCGGATGCAACCAGAAAGTTTTATCTAGTGAATTGGCAGACAGTCACTTCCCCAAAGAAGTGGGGTGGACTTGGAGTAAAAGATCTTAGGGTATTCAACAGAGCTTTGTTGGGGAATTGGCTGTGGAGATTCGGGGTAGAAGAGCATGCTCTATGGAGGTAGGTCATAGTAGAAAAGTACGATTCCACGAGAGGGGGTTGGAGGACTAAGGCAATCACAACACCTTTCAAGTGTGGCATGTGGAGGAGCATCATGAAGAATTGGGAAGCCTTCAGTGGCAACATCGCCTACAGGGTGAGAGATGGAAGGAGAATCAGCTTTTGGAATCATAGCTGGTGTGGAGAGGATACTCTGAGGGTCTCCTTCCCCCACGTCTTCAAAGTTTCAAACCAGAAGGAATTAATAGTCCAACAGATTCGTAAGGAGCATGAAGGGGGGGAAGGAGTAGTATGGGACCTCTCATTTAGAAGGAACATGCAAGATTGGGAGATTGCGGAGCTCCAAGATTTGTTAACAATGCTATATGGGCAAGATAGGCCCCAGCCATCTTTTTGCTCTCAATTTTCTCAGTCTGCTGAATTGTGTCAGTGCAGGGTATACATGATCGAAAGAGCGTGAAACTGAGAAAAAAATCTACAAAGAGCAAAAAGTCCATCCTTTCATATCTAATTCTCTCCATTCCTCCATTGTTGAGCGGTGGTGCTAACATCTGCGAGTAAATTGCCAGATTATCTTCACTTCAACACACACCTAAATCCCTTTTGTTCCGAACTCAGACTTCATTCTTCACTCTACACACCCAACCTAGCTTTCAGTATCTCACCTTTGCTTCTCGTCATAGTCTTCCGCTGGTGGTTCGCTGCACAGGAGGAGTTGTGATGATTAAGGGAAGAGCAGCCACAGTGGTTGAGGGAGGAGCAATGATGGTTGAGGGAAGTGCAATGGCGTAATGGATACAAGATGCATTATTCAAATGCATAACAGAGGTGACGCAGATTCCTGGGACGTTTGAATAGAAGAATATGGTAGCACAAGGAGAAACACAAGGCACTTGGTGATATTAAGAGTCTGGTAACTGTTCGTGGGGTTGAGGAAAAGCTGCTTCCTTGGGTATCTTCCCCGATAGCAAGGAATTGTGTCTTATTGTTGGCTAATGAACAAGCAGCAGCTAAGAACCAGAAGAAATCTATGGTTGTTAATGTGGATGGACGGATTGTTGCTAAAAGAGCTCCACTGGTTGAAGCTGCAGCAAAAAAAAAAGAAAAGAAGAAGAAAGCTACAGTAATAGGGAGGATTAGAGAGGTGAGGAGTGGAGCAGAAAAAACGGAGAGATGGATGCTGCTGGGTTATGTTAGAATTGGAAGGTAATAGAGGGCGTGAGGAGTGACTTTCTAAATGGATGATGACCATGAAAGCAGGGACCATCATCGACTGCGCCAGGGAAGCAACTCAAGCCAAGGATTTCGTAGCTTCCTATAACGGAGAGATACAGAGAGAAGATATAGTTCAATGAAATGGATAAATGGAAAACGATTGGATCTGAATTTTTCTTCTTCTTTTTTTTTTTTGTGGGGGGGGGGGGGGGGTTCTCATACATGTCATGCATTGGCGGATTCAGTCTGACGTGATTAGCCATGGTACTCGACTGACGAACGCACCCCACATATTAACTGGCTGAGGCATTTAAAATAGTGCTTCTGAACATGTTGAGATGTCAGAATGAAAACTCGTGAAGTTGGGATACGAGTATAGAATCCTGCACAAGTACAGGTGTCTATTTGGATAATAAGACGTAACTATCCGAAGTTACTAACTTCCTGGATTTAGGATACTATTCATAAAATTAAGGATAAACCTAGTAACTCCACTTGTTATTTCTGCAATCAATTAGCAACTTTTCCAGATCAAGCAATCAGTTAGTAATTTCTTTTGTAACTGATTGCTTGATCAAAAAGTTTCTAATTGATTGCTGAAATCAGAAGTAGATAACACAGCATACTGAGTAGTAATGTATTCAACTATAATTTTCATAATAAGTTGCAGATAATTCAAATAATTAAAAGCACCAAAGAGACAGTTGACTATCATTTCATAATCAAGTTGTACAAACATAATTTGGGTACTCTCTAAATTTTCTTACTATCAATAAACCACATGATTCTAGATCTTCAAAGATAGGAGAACCAAACATGCACAGGTCAGATGACTTATAAAATCATTATACTTAGAGTTTAGACAAAGCCTTTAGTTTTATCTGATAGTAACTTTAAGGACACAGTTACAGATATTTTTTAAATAACAGTAACTTGATTATAGCACTACGAACTCCATACATATAGCTACTTATAAAGTTACTAAACTAATTTTCCCAAGATAGTTGCCATCTTAAAGCTTTGTAAATGCACTGTTATATTGTTAATGATGGTGTCTGGAGCAATTTGGTGGGCAAGCCATTGACTGACAGTCACGGCATTCCAGTTTGGGCGTGAAGCAATTATAATGAAACACAAATTAAGAAAATCAGGGAAAAAATAAATTACATAGTTACTAGCTATGTGAGCCACCCCAATGGATTCCGATCACGGCCCTACGATTTGAGTTGTGGTACAATTATAATGGAACACCATAGCAAAAAAAAATTAGAGAAAACATAAATTACATATGTAGATCTTGATTATATGATAGTAGTTGACGCTTTAGCTTACTTTTGATTATTTAGTTGAATGTAATTTAATTTATATTCGACCTATTAAACAGAAAACGGAATAACATACCCATAAGTTGAGAGAGTGCCTTCATGGTGCGTTTCTCAAGCTTGTCGAGTTTCTTCTGCACATCCCGTCGCAGGTCCCAATTTGGCTTTTTGGGAGCAATATTCAGAAATGGATCCTGATATTTGACCAAAGAAAAAGCACAACATGTAACCTTCAACTAATATGAATGTGAAAACCATGAAGAAAACAACAAAAGAAAAAAAATAGTGCAAGCACGGAAGCACCTCTTTCTTCTCTTCGACGGGAGGTAGGGTAGCAATAGGGTCCTCAAACTTTGGGAGTACTGGCGGAGCCACTTTGCCTTCTTGAAGCTGCTTATCATGTGGCAGGTAATTTCGGAACTTCATTTGGACATCACTGAAATATATATCAATCAATAAATATTATGTCTCATCCCAAACCCATCTGAGTCATTTATTAGTAATCTCAATTCTCTTTTTCTATTAGAGCTAGAGCCAAATAGTGTTGAAGCTAAAGGTAAAGGAAGGAGGTTCAATTGAATCCACTTCTATCTGAAATTACACTGTGCAAGAAGGGTAAAATTAATCTTTTTTGTGTACAAATAAACTGCTGAATCCCCTTAACATAAAGGGAAGCTTCTAGTTATAGCCTTTTTGCATTTTTTTGAATCTTCTTGTTAGGATTTCTGGCTCCGCCACTGCGTGCAATGACTGATAAAAAGCCATCAACTTGTTAGGGGTAAGTATTGGCTTGCTCCCTTTCATCTTGTTAGTTAGATAGGTCTAGAATCCTATAAAGGGAAGGGGATTCTTGCTGCTCGCCCCTATCTCTAAAGTGACGCACTCCAGTTGTTAACCACTAAACACGAAGCTAAGAGCGGAAGGAGGTACTTGAACCCTCTCCATTCCGATCTATTCAGGTCTATTTCATTCCAGTTCTGATGGATTTGTCTATTACGGAAGACATACATTCAGAAAAATTGAACAAGATAGCAGTGTCACAAAATTTCTAGCAGAACCCAGATTCAATGGCGACACGAACTGTTAATTGAACCTAGAAAAAGAAACCCTATACGAGGAATACAGTTAATGGTACTACTACTTACTTTTCATCATCGTCTTCGTTAGTGTTGTTATTATCAGCAGCATCGTCGGGGGTTTCGAGAAGTTCCTGAGCGGCTCTGAGGGCTCTGAGCCTCTCCCTTCGGGCAGCTGCTGCCGCCTCTATGGCGTTTTCCTCCTCCGTCGACATTGAGAGAATGAATATATACTACTATGTGAGAGAATGAATATATACTGCTATGTGAGAAGTTAAAGCTGAGTATGGAGAACGCTCGCCAATTCTGCCAAAGGAAACCACGGGCAAGTGAAAGGTATGGAAAAAGCGTAAGACACAACATTGATGAGCAGCTGGTCTTATTTATATCAAGTTGTAAATGTAAATTTAAATACCAAAACCCAGCCCGGAATTACTTTGTAACCTTATTGCACATTTGCACTAAAAAAATAATTCAATTAGTCATAAATCAAAGTCAGAATTGATTTTTAATTATCTACTCCGTCCATTCACTTCTATTTATCCACTATTCCAAAAATATATTTTCAATTTTACTTTTTTACTTTCACATATCAAGAGAAAAAGAATTTATTTTTTCGATTTTACCCCTAACATTAATTACTATTTCTAAATTCATTAAGACTATACACCAATTAATATGGGTATCATGGTAAATTATGCACTTTATTTATTATTTCTTAAGGATTATGCAAAGTTAATAGTGGACAAGTAAAAGTGAACGGATGGAGTACATTATAAGAGTAAATACACTAAAACTCACCTAAATTATCATCTTTTTGCCAGTTTTCTACCTAAACTATAGTTTGTCCCCAAAACCCCTCCTCAACTATCTCCTCCTCCTTATTAAAATCCCTCGCCACATTTTTAATAGTGCGTAACATGCTCGTAAATTTGTTAGAAATATGCCATGTGGCACTCCATATGGATACTTAATTAGCATAATCAAAAACTAACTTAATTACGTATTTTAAATATTAATTCGAATTTATTAAATGGGTAAATGTTATTCACCCAATTAAAACATATAAGAGGTCTAAGGTAATTAGCATATAGTAAAATCCCCTTCTCTCTCCTACCTTTCTGATAATAGCTTGTTTTTCTCTCATTTGCGATTTTCTCTGTTAAGCTTCGTTGTGATTTTCAATTTTTTCCCAATAACCCTCGATTTGGATTATTGGGTTATTTTCATCGAGATAGTGATTGTCGTCCTTCTACAAAGTATCAAATTTGGGTTATTTAGTATAAAATCGTGTCATTATTGTTTGTCGTTTGATCTCTCTTACCGTTAGTGTTTTCTGTCAGTTCCAAGTCTTTCACAACCTACCGGAATAAATTACAGTAACCAACTCCATCCACTCATTTGCACCTGAGCATAGAAGTTGCACGAAGGGAACATGCGTGTGTACTTTATATATATATATATATAGGAAGTTTATGTGGGTTATCTCCCTTGAATTATGAAAACTCCAATGTTCTCATATATCTTGTTCTTCTGCAAATATTTTTCAAAATCTTGAAGAGAAATTCAATAACGAGAGAGAGAATTTCATATGGAACTAGATGGAAAATGGAGGAGAAAGGTGAAAAAATAAAAACTAAAGGTGAAAGAATGAAGAAGAAAGGAGAAACAAATGAGGGATGAAGGTGAAATATTAAGAAACTTAAAAAATATATAAAATAAAATAAAAAAAGGCTAATTAGTCGCTAGACACTGTCATGTGGGCCATTTGATGGCTTTTTCTAGTCTTCACGTACTTTTTCACGAGTTATTACACACAATACGCCACATAAGCAGCGGGAGAGGGGGGTTTAATACAAATGAGGATATAGTTCAAGAGGGTTTTGGGGACATGCAAAGTATAGATAGAAAACTGACAAAAAGTGATGGTTTAGATGGGTTTTAGGGTATTTACTCTAACTATAACGAAGGTATAACTTTGTATAAAGTTAGCTTGAATTTAAATGAGAAAGTTGGAAGGGTTTATATAAGAGAGAATTGCACATAAGTATAGTCCACACATATATATTTCAACTAGGTAGGCTATATATAACTTTGTAAAGCTATAACCTAAAAATTGTAGGCCAAGATTCGACATTCAACTTCAAATAGGTTCTCGAAATAGCTATTCTTTTAAAAGCTCAAGCTTCTAAACCCAATCTTAGAATCAGTAATTGTGACACAACGTTAGTTTAACAAACCAAATCTTTTTAGGTGATGAAAATTAGATTTATAAGGTAATTCACCATTATTGAACAAGATTAAATATGTCGGTTTAAATTTTGAATTTAATTTTGTGAGAAATTTGGAGTGGGTGTTATTTAGGCTTGTTAGAAATAATCTAAGGAGGTTGTTTACAAAATTTAAATTCATTTAATGGAGATTAAGACTGATTTTAAATGAGAATTATACTTTTATAAAAAACAGACACATTATGTATATAGGTGTATAAAAGTGTATAATATCGTATAAGAGATTTTATACACATATATACACTATTACATAAAAAATTGACTTCGTCTTCTTCTTTGCGCCTCATCTGAAATTTAACTCAAATCTAGCTTAAATCTGCTCCAAATCGCTTTAAGTTTATGTTTTGAGCTCCTCTTGATGTTTTCAATCGATTGTAAAAACACCCAATAATGTTTCCAAGCAAACCAAACAACACTACTTTCAAAATTAAACTCAAATCTCATATCCGAGTTTAGCAGCTTTCAAACCAAAAATCTCTAATGGTCTAGAATATAATCTTTGCATTCACATCATATATATCAAGTCTTTGTTATATGAACATTGTTAGTGTGATGTCATCACTTGTTTTACAAGTCAATTCTGTGTTCTGAGGCCTTAAAAACCTCTCTTTGTCTCACCTCGATTTGCTACGCAGTCCGGACGCGTTTTCGAAAAGCTTTTATGTGAAAACTGAGTAAAATAAGGAAATTGGCTTTTAAAATTGAATGGAATTTACTTTGGTCAACATTCTTGGTAAACGGACCCGGATCCGTGATCCGACGGTCTCGTAGGGTCCGTAGTAAAATTTGGGACTTGGGCATATGCTCGGAATCGAATTCCGAAGTCCCAAGCCCGAGAAATGAATTTTTAAAGAAAATTATTTTCTGAAAAATATAAAGGTTTTTAGAAGTGAATTGATGCATCTTCTTGATGGTATCGGGTCCGTATCTTGGTTCCGGAGTCCAGTACAAGTTTGAAATAATAATTAAGATGAATTTGTAAAATTTGGTAAAGATCGGAATTGGTTTGGTATAAAACGGACCTATGGTTGAGAAAATAGTAATTTTGATGTTCTTGAGTGATTTCATGAATTTGAGGTTTAATTCATAGTTATTGATGTTATTTTGATGATTTGATCACACGAGCAAGTTTGTATGATGTTTTTGGACTTGCGTGCATATTTGGTTTGGAGCCCCGAGGGCTCGGTGAGTTTTGGATAGGCCACGGAGTGAAATTGAACTTAGGAGCAAGTGCTGGTATCTGGTATTTTTGCCAAGGCCTCTGATCTCGCAATTGCGAGATCATGATTCGCAATTGCGAAGAGGACAGGCTTGGTAATTGCGACCCCAGTATCGTAAATGCGAACCGCAAATGCGACCATTTCTTGCAAATATGAAGGTGACCGGATTTTCCCTTGGTCGCAAATGCGACAGATTCTTCGCATTTGCGAAGATAACAGGTCCTGAAGGGGTTTCGTAATTGCGAACCCTGGTCGCAATTGCAACATCTGCGACCAGTTAATTTGGACTTAGACGCATTTTTCTTCAATTTTTAAACTCTCTCAAACCCTAAGCTCTCTTGGGCTATTTTCTAAAGAATAATTCTTCTCCAAATCAATTGTAAGTTATTTCTAACTCATTTTCTTTAATCTATAACATTTTTCACATGATTTCAACTCAAAACAAGGGTTTTCACGGGGGAAATTGGGTATTTTGGGTAGAACTTAGGATTTTTAAATTTTGGGGATTTGGACCTCGATTTGAGGTCTGATTTCAAAATAAATTATATATTTGAGTTCGTGGGTGAATGGGTAATCGGGTTTTGGTTCGAACCTCGGGTTTTGACCATGTTGGCAGGGGGTCGATTTTTGACTTTTTGGGGAAATCATTGAAAACCCTATTTTCATGCATTAGAATTGATTCATTTAGCATTTATTGATATCATTAAGTAAATTGTGGCTAGATACAAGCGAATTGGTGATGGAAACAAGAGGTAAAGCGATAGTTGAGGCTTGAATTGTGTTTGTGGCATTGAGGTAAGTGTTTGGTCTAACCTTGAAGGATTAGGAGTTGTGTCTTATTTGTTATGTGTTAATTGTTGAGTACGACGTATAGGCATGGTGACGAGTATCTATGCGTCAGTGTCAAGCATGCCCGTGAGTCTTAAATTATAATTGTTGTGTTCTTGATAAATACTACAAATGCTTAAGTTGTTGATTCTCTGTGTTGGGCAAGAATTATAATTATTCTCGTGGTATTTGATTGTTATTGAGTATTGGTTCCAGTTGAGATTTCATTTGTGAAGTTAAATGTCAGTATAAGTTTGGGTATAGTTGATTCCCTTGCCGGGACGTGTTTAATTCATACCGTTGGTTCCCTTGCCGGGATGTGCTTATTCTCATTATTGATTCCCTTGTCAGGACATTATTGTTTACTTATTGTTCCCTTGTCGGGATTCATTTGTAATTAGTGTTGAATTGTATATTGGGATCGGGTTGCATGCCGCAATAATATTAACATGAAGTAATAAGGGAGGACAGGAGGGGTCCGGTTGCACACTGCAACAGTGATATATGATTGGATCGGGTTGCACACCGCAACAATGATATATGATTGGAACGGGTTGCACGTCGCAACAGTGTATATAATTTGGATCGGGTTGCGCGCCGCAATAATAAATGATAAAAGTGGATATTGATTTGTTATTGTTTCCTTATTCTTACTGATGCAAACCTTAAAATGTTCTTTATGTTTTTCTCCTAAGTTACTGTTGGTATTTGATATTTTCCCGTAGCATGTATCCCCTTCCCATATTTAACTGCTAGTTTTCGTTATCATTTCTTGTCATATATGCTTTAACTGCACAGGTTTATTTGGTAGTCTTGTCCTAGCCTCGTCACTACTTCACCGAGGTTAGGCTCGACACTTACCAGCACATGGAGTCGGTTGTGCTGATACTACACTCTGCAATGTGTGCAGATCTCGGTACTGGAGTATACGGACCTTAGCTAGGGGTTGCTACCTTCAGTCCATCAGGAGACCCAAGGTAGACTTGCAGGCGTTCGCAGGCCTTGGCGTCCCCTCCCTATCTAG